TTTGGCAGAAGTCCATCATGTGGTCGCAGAGCTGTTGGCAGGACTCTTCGACGGATTTGAGGCGGCGGTCGACGATGTAGATTCCGTAGTCGGAGGGGTGGGAGATCATTTCGTCCATGAAGCAGCCGAAACCGGAGAGGTTCGTCGTGATGGAGGGGACGCCCATGACCGTGCATTCGGCGGGGGTGTAACCCCTGTTTGGATCAAATGTGAGTATAAACGTCGGGAGGTATTCTGGCAACAGTGCAGATGGCTTACCAAGGCTCGTAGTAGGACGGGAAGACACCCAAGTGACATCCTCTCACAAACTCCTCATAGTCCATCCCAAGAAGCGGGTTGTTGGAGTTCAAGAACTCCGGGTGGAAGATGACCTTCACCCTATCCTGGCCAGAGTTGAACAGCTTGACCTGACGGATCTGGTTCAAAATGGGGTCCTTGTGGTCGTCCGCAACATTATGGGTCACGACGGGCGGAAGAGTGTCACGCTTCAGGGCGAAGATGCGGCGCTTGAGGAGGATGTTGTCTTGATCGGACATGATGTGGGCAGAGTCTGGTACCTTGCCCCTGTAAAACACCGGTTAGTCGAGCGCGCAACACGATTGCATGCGTTTGAGAATTTACGAACCTTGCAGCGGCCTCGAATATCCGGCTTCCAATGTTGTTCTGGATCTCGCTAACGGTGTCCTTGAGTTGCTTCATGACGGCTTGACCCTTCAAGGCGTCAATGGTGAAACTATGCGTCTGAGCGGGCATGATAATGAAGGCGACGACCGTGACAGGGGAGTTGTAGTGCTTGAGACGTGCGTTAAGACCTGCAAATAACACATCAGACACCGTGCTATTTTTTCTGATGCAAAAAAAGAAAATGACAACTCACGTGCAAGTGACTCGATGAACATATCAACACCCTTGTTACGGAACTCATACCGACCAGCGGTGAAGAAGTACACCGTGTTATCAAGATCGAAATCGTAGTGACCATAGAAGTGACCGCGGATGAACTCGTGGATCTTCTCCTTGGCACGGGCGTGGAGGTTCTGGAACTCGTGGAGAGCGCTGAACTTGACGACGTTCAAACCGTTGGGCAAAACGCCATCTGGAGAAGTTAAGCGAATGAGCAAATCGCCAATTTGCCCCTATGTGGATCCCGCCCAAATAGCAAATCATACCAGGCTTCCTCTTCAACAACCATTCCGCCTCATACGCAGTAATGTGACTGACAGTAGTAAACACATCGGCACAATGCGACGCCGCACGCTCAATACAATATCTGTGGTAGATCCCGCGCTTGCCAGCTTCGGCGTCAACGTCGAAGAATTTCAGGTTGTTGTAGAAATCCACGTCGCCGGCGCAGAGGTAACGACCGAGCAGGGTGGCGTGAGTGGTGAAGATGGTAGCGATGTCAAGGCTGCGCTTGCGGATGAGGACGAGGGCTACACCGGCCAACCATTCGTGGATGTGAGCAATGATGGCGGGCGTGGAGCTGCGGTTCGTGTCGTTCAAGTCGGCGGTGGGGACGGAGCAGGTGCTCTTTTGGATGTATGTGAACTGAAATGGAAAATATGGTTATTTTTCGCTGTTTCTTTGTACATTTTGAGCCTGAAGATTTGGCACTCTTTTCCCTCACCTCTCCCAAAAACCATGCAACCAAGTACCCAAACACAATCGCCTCGTTCGTCTCATGGTCATCAGGAGGGCTCGGAATCCCCGCAATGTTCCACAGATCCGCCTTCCACTCGTTCATGCGGTGCTGAGCGCTCCCAGTATCAAGCAAAAGTACATACGGAGCACCCTCAATAAGCCATTTCCCGTAAAGGAACTTCACACCGCGGGAAGCGAGGTTCTCAAGAGTGATTCTCATGGTCTCCGATTGGGGCTCGGTGACTTGTTCTACTTCCATGGGAGCCGTTTTGTAGGAAAGGGGACCGATAAGACAGTACCGGTCCCCATATTCTTGACATGTAACGGGGGCTTTGGATTTGATCACGGTGTAGATACCGCCAACTGGTGGGAAGAGACCGGTATTAGCCCAACGTTGTTTTCCCAGCAGCGTGGAACCCTCAGCTCCCACAACTGTTGCCTTTTCCCTACTATTCAAGGCGAAAAGCTCCAAGCCAACCCATTATCGCGAAAACTACAAACCTTTGTTGGCGACTTCCCACGCAATCTCAAACAGCAGTGGTTTTGTAACATCGAGGTTCTTTGCTCTGTCTGCAGACATTTTGTCGGAGCTGTTTTTTTTGCGTGAAGATGAGGCAAGATGAGGTGATCCACGAGATGGATTTCGCGTAAGAGTGAGGTAGCGTGAAAAGACGAGATTTGCGGTTTTGTTAGTATAGGACCCCTGCCAAGATTGCGAACACGGCGCTCTCACTCCGAACTCCCCACCTTTAAGCAGATTCCAAGATGATCAAGATTCACGCAAAAAGCAGATGGCAACCGCGTGTGAAAATAAAAAGGGTAAAGTGGGGTTATTGCTTTTGCAGAGGGGTGGTCTCGACCTTGCAGGGGGTGTATGCGAAGGTGTCACGATAAAGTTACAGCGACCAGGGGGTGGTGTGAACAGTGCTATTTTTACACGCTCTAAGAAAAAGGGTTTTATGTATTTGTTGGTACGATAGATGTGATTTTGTGTTCCCGGAACCGCACTGCGATCCAAGCGACAGGGGGACTGATTATGCGATTGGGGCGGGAAGGGTGTTGCTACTTCCGTAAAATTCCTACCCTCGGACCGTGT